AAAGTTTGCATATACGATTAAGATCCATTGAGATCTTGTTTAAGTTGATATCAAACCAAGTACACATTGAGCACATTAACAGGCAAATGTGATATCTACCAATAGGTCCTGTAAAATTTCTTTTTTTAAAACATTTATTATTATCTACTGAAGTAATGTTTATTTAATATAAGTGTGTGTTAATGTAAGCATACTTAGGTGTCTTCGGCTATACACCTGTAAATTTAAAATGGATAACATTATGCATCAAGTGAACCTTGGTAATTTAACGGCTTTCTATAGCAATAATTTCCAAAACACAACATGAAAATGATAAAGCTTGAACGATTTAAAATAATCTACATTAAATAGCTGACAAGGATGCCTTTTGAAAAACAATTCAAACCATATTACAAATATATATAGCTCAAGGAAAAATGATATGGCATGGATTGAATATTAAATCTAGCACTGCAAATTTGAGCACCACATTTTTCAACAAATGCACATGCACGCAAACATCAATTAGTTGGTTCATAGACTTGTCTCATAAAAATGGAAGACAGATTACATATCTTTTAAAAAAAACTTACTAAACTTAAAGTTTACATTGCAAACAAAATGAAAGATAATCTGAGCTCTTAGAAATGAGGCCTAGAAAAAAAATATGTTTGTTTCCGCTTTCAGGCTGAAAAAATATTGGGTAGGTAGGTAGGCAATTTTTTTTTTTTTTTTGAAAAAAATTTTTTTGCTTCTTTAATCAAAACGTGTATAGAAGTAACATTAATGACAAAAGAAATGGTGTTTTCAAGCATTACTGTGACTTAACTTATAATAGAAAGGTGACCCAAACTTCTTTCTGACTTGAAAAGCTTGCAAAGTTGGAGGCTATAATTCCCTGGTTGAAATCTTGCACATCATGGGACAAAAGCATTAAAAAAATATTTAGGGTTGGCACTATAAATTAGGGTCGGTCGGGAAAGCGGAAACAAACATATTTTTTTTCTAGGCCTGAAAGCATATCAGATTCCAAAATAAATAACAAACATGTAAGTTTACACAATACACACATACACAAATGTAAAAATTAAATAAAATAATGAAATATGAGAGGACTGTGATTTCTTGCATATACCGGGTATATGAAATGGATTTCCTGAATTTGGGAATTATTTCATAACTAAAATTAATAAAGTATATTAGATAGATGATATGCAAATAATAAATTATGTAACGTAGATATGACAAATACTGGTTATAGGACAAAAAATCATTTTTTGTAAAGCTCTGGATACAAATGGTAACTAGGGCATCCAATATGAAAGAAGAAAACAGTTGTGCTCATAAATTACTGGCAATCCACACCAGTCTATAATGTTAATGTGTATAGTTCAACATATCACTGTTCATTAAATATGCACTAGTTTCTGGTTACTGTAAAATGTAAAAATATGATGAATTAAAGGTTGGTTTCATATGATTGATTTTTCTGATTACCAGGTAATAAGTAACAATATTCTTTTGTTTTTTAAAACCGTCCACTTTTTAGTATTCACGTTGCCCAGATCAACTTTTTCTATTGCAATTCTTTTGGTCTCAATATCAGACACACTCCTGCTCAGGTGAGTTTATTTTGGACTCGTAGCCACTGTCCACTGATTTCTGGTTTTGAATGGAAGACTTCCTGCCATCACCCGTAGTGTGTGATTCAAGGTCAATGTTAAACTGAGGTTTTTTACTCGATGATTCCTCAGTCTCTGACGTCAACGTGATATACACACTCTCAATATCTGTACCACTGGAAGGTTTCTCACTGCTTGAATCTTCTTCGCTCTGACGGGTGTCTGACTCTTTCTCTTTAGTTGTGGGTTTCGACATTGTTTCAGGGGACAATGTCTCATAAGTAGACAAAATTGTGTCCGCTTTCTCATCAGTTGTGGGTTTCGACATTGTTTGAAGGGAGCATGTCTTATAAGTAGACAAAATTGTGTCCGCTTTCTCATCAGTTATGGGTTTCGGCATTGTTTGAAGGGAGCATGTCTCAAAAGTAGACACAATTGTGTCGGCTTTACCAACGGTTTCTGAATCCTCTTTCTGACTTGTGTCTGACTCTATTTTACTGTCCTCATGACTGGCTTTATTGTCTGTCTGTGTGTCAGAGCTATAACTCTGCCTGAAGCTGACTTTACTAGAGTTTTCATACAAGTCCAATTTAACATCAGTACATTCTATTGCAGGATTTGAATATTCCTCATCTGTGTGTGACAGTGGTGCATCAATCAGTTGAGCCGTAGAGGAATGCTTAAAATCTTTTTCGTTATTTGAAACCTGCGTATAGTAAACCACGTCTTGGTCAATCCTGCTATTTGGCTGAATTTGTCCCACGCTACTCTCTGATTTTTTACTCCCCACAGAAGAAAACGATGCTGTCCTAAAATAAAGCAACATTCTACAGCTACTGAGCCCAGAGAATATATACTGGCTGAGGGCCTTGAAATTTCATTTAAAAACCGATTTGTGATTATAGTTGAAACTGTTATAATTACAACACATTATTCATCAATTCTAATAGATTCTTTTCCAACAGAGAGGAAAATATTTACAAGCTAGTGAAAAAAATGCAAATGAAATAACTCAACCAAATTTAAGAATGAACCTGTTAAAGAGAAAATAAATTCCTAAAAGTATGAGAGAAAAAAAATTGAAGAAATTAATCACAAATGTATTTGAGCAAAAAAAAAAAAAAAAATAAAAGGACATATTGCACATGCTGGAGAGATATTGCCTCAAAAGATTAATAACGATTTTCATATGCACCAATTAAATCAATTAATACATTGAAAAAATAAAGTTATCATTATGATAATAACCGGTATGCCACTGTTTTGTAAATATTATGACATACTCTGAAGTCAGACAAATATTGATCATGCTTTCCATATAAAGATTAGAAGGGAAATGTATGTATATATGCTTGATAAAATGGAAGTCATAACAATAATGCATCTCATTTGATTGATTGAGGCACACCTATAGGCAGGTGCCCCCTACACAGTTATTAGGTAGTCAATTCATGCAGGTAGAGATGTACCTATTCTGATGTGTTGGAAGATTATTCCAAAAGAAACACTGAGATAGATTTTGATACATCACCGACTTCCTAAACCTTTGAAACAAAAATAAAAAATGAAAAAAAGAAAACAAAAAAATAATGAAACCTATAAGGACAGAAATAGTGATTGAGAAGTTCTGTTAACTTCTACTCAAAACTTAATTTGTTCTATAATCAGCACAGTATTAAATCATACAATAATCAACTACACTCCGTACCCAATAATTTCCTAAAATCTTTAACCACAAAGATTATATAAAAGCAAAACACAGCTGCAGTTAACTACGATTCAAACCAAAGTTAACAAAAATCCAAACCCCGAGTGTTGACTATGATCAATATAAAACAGTACCCACCAATCAAAATCATCTGGTAACTAGTAACATTTTATCCTTTAATCAATATTTAAGGATTATATGACTTGTATTATAATTAAGGAATTATTACAATAAACAAGATGTCATTGATTTCAGAATGTATACCTTGTGCTGATGTTTCAGACAATTTGTGCATTGAAACTTTAACAATATATATGCAACCTTTTAAACCCCCTTCTGATTTTTATACTCGAATTCTTTTCATATACTAAACTATAGACCATTTTAGTGAGAGTTATTTCCCTTTGAGGGTTGCCATATTGGAGGTCTACAACCTGAATTCCTTCATCATACGATCAATGAATTTTGATTTTTTCCCATATTAAATTAATGTATCAAAATAAAGTTGTCCTCGGTAACATGTCAACTTGTCATACTAAGTCTTGTAAGAAGTAATGAATGAAGATAACACAGTTTCTCTTACAAAAAATGTCCTCTAATTCATGATTTTAGTATTTTGAAGATTTTTGCTCTAAATTATTTTTGCCATGCAAGTTTAAAATAGAAAAAATTGCTAGTTATGCCTCCAATATGGCGACCAATGGGGAAAAAAAAAAACTCTTTTTAAAATTATGTCTATCAAAAATTATCAATATGAAATTAATCTCAGCTCATCAGTACAGAAACACATACTAAAACATACCTAAATATACATACCCTTTCTTGCCTTTCTTCTTGTAGAGATAAACTCCTCCAACAATAACTGCTATAAAGAGGAGAATTATCACAATCACAACAGGGGCAATCCAACCATCAGAATCTTGGGAGGCTGAAATAATAAATTACTGTGAAATTACGAGTTTGATAAGCAAATACAGGTACATGTACATCTAATAACTTCAGATTACTTCATCAGATTGTTCTATTTTCATAATTTCTAAATAATATTTTAATGATTAAAGATTTTAGATACTCTGATTTTTTTTTAATAATGAAAACATTTGATAGGTAATTCAGAACATTGTATGCAAAAGACAGCTAGCAAACACTTGTTTACAGCAAACCTCACAATTACAAAAAATCAATTCCAGTGCACTTTTAAATCATTTTAATTTTATTTAGTCTACTGGCTGGTAGGTTAAAATCAAGAAAAAAGTTAAACAATTCAACCAGTTGTAATGCTAATAAAGCAATTATTCAAGATTCATAATTAAAGCAAACTTTGATTACAAAAACAATGCCATGAAAAACAGCAACCAATGGTTTACCAATGTATGATTTGGCACAGCTCGGTCCTTTAAATTAATCTGAATTCTGAATATGAGTATACAAAAATATGAATTCTATCTCTAATTATCACAAACAAAATGTTAACTTTATTTACCTTTTCCATCTCAATTCCTAAAAGATTCATTTTTCCTGAATTTAATTTCCACTTACGGTATTAAATGCTTTGTATATTCTTTTTCTACTACTATTTTTAGAATTTAAAACCTTGCAACATTATAATATATAAATGTTTTTGACCTTGACCTTAGACTTTGACCTACTTTTAAAAACAGTTAAGTCTTAGAGCCTTCATATTTCACAAGTTTAATCCTTATGACAAGACCTTCCTTTGTATAACAACAATTTGGTCCTTTTGGCTTTGACCTTGGAGTTTGACTTTTGTTACTTTGAGGAACTTCAACTCTAGCCTTTAATTAGCAGCCATATGGGGGCATCAGTGTTTCACAAAATTATCTTGTTCAATATGTACTCAACTTTAAAAAGTGTAAATATTCATATTACCAAGAAATGTATTATATGTCTAATAAATATATTTAAAAACAAGAGGCCCAGGGGCCACAGGGCTCACCTGAGCACATCGGGCTTGAATTTACTCCCCCCACCCCCCTCCAGGCATTCATCATTTGAACAAACTTGAATCTACACTACCTGAGGATGATTCCATATAAATATCACTAATCATAGCTTTGAAGTACTTGAAAAGAAGATTTTAAAAGGTTTCCCTATATATCCCTAGATGTAAAACTTGGGTCGGCCATTTTGGCCCCACCCTAGCCCCGGGGGTCATGATTTGAACAAACTTGAATCTACACTACCTGAGGATGATTCCACATGAGTTTCAACTTTCCTGGCCCAGTGGTTCTTAGAAGAAGATTTTTGAAGATATTTCCTATATATTCCTATGTAAAACTTGGGTCGGCCATTTTGGCCCCACCCTTGCCCTGGGGGTCATGATTTGAATAAACTAGAATCTACACTACCTGAGAATGATTCCACATGAGTTTCATCTTTCCTGGCCCAGTGGTTCTGGAGAAGAAGATTTTTAAAGATTTTTCCTATATATTCCTATGTAAAACTAGGGTCGGCCATTTTGGCTCCACCCTTGCCCCGGGGGTCATGATTTGAACAAACTTGAATCTACACTACCTGAGGATGATTCCACATGAGTTTCATCTTTCCTGGCCCAGTGGTTCTGGAGAAGAAGATTTTTAAAGATTTTTCCTATATATTCCTATGTAAAACTAGGGTCGGCCATTTTGGCTCCACCCTTGCCCCGGGGGTCATGATTTGAACAAACTTGAATCTACACTACCTGAGGATGATTCCACATGAGTTTCATCTTTCCTGGCCCAGTGGTTCTGGAGAAGAAGATTTTTAAAGATTTTTCCTATATATTCCTATGTAAAACTTGGGTCGGCCATTTTGGCCCCACCCTTGCCCCGGGGGTCATGATTTGAACAAACTTGAATCTACACTACCTGAGGATGATTCCACATGAGTTTCATCTTTCCTGGCCCAGTGGTTCTGGAGAAGAAGATTTTTAAAGATTTTTCCTATATATTCCTATGTAAAACTTGGGTCGGCCATTTTGGCCCCACCCTTGCCCCGGGGGTCATGATTTGAACAAACTTGAATCTACACTACCTGAGGATGATTCCACATGAGTTTCATCTTTCCTGGCCCAGTGGTTCTGGAGAAGAAGATTTTTAAAGATTTTTCCTATATATTCCTATGTAAAACTTGGGTCGGCCATTTTGGCTCCACCCTTGCCCCGGGGGTCATGATTTGAACAAACTTGAATCTACACTACCTAAGGATGATTCCACATGAGTTTCATCTTTCCTGGCCCAGTGGTTCTGAAGAAGAAGATTTTTAAAGATTTTTCCTATATATTCCTATGTAAAACTTGGGTCGGCCATTTTGGCTCCACCTTTGCCCCGGGGGTCATGATTTGAACAAACTTGAATCTACACTACCTGAGGATGATTCCACATGAGTTTCATCTTTCTTGGCCCAGTGGTTCTGGAGAAGAAGATTTTTAAAGATTTTTCCTATATATTCCGATGTAAAACTTGGGTCGGCCATTTTGGCCCCACCCTTGCCCCGGGGGTCATGATTTGAACAAACTTGAATCTACACTACCTGAGGATGATTCCACATGAGTTTCATCTTTCCTGGCCCAGTGGTTCTGGAGAAGAAGATTTTTTAAAAATGCCATTAATTTTTAACAAATTCATGATTATCTCCCCTTTGAAAAGGGCGTGGCCCTTCATTTGAACAAACTTAAATCCCCTTTACCAAAGGATACTTTGTACCAAGTTTGGTTGAAATTGGCCCAGTGGTTCTTGAGAAGAAGATGAAAATGTGAAAAGTTTACGACAACAACGACAACAACGACGACAGACAACGGACAAATTTTGATCAGAAAAGCTCACTTGAGCCTTCGGCTCAGGTGAGCTAAAAATCTATCTAAATCTCTTTTAGAATGTTTTTTCAACAGGGAAAAATATAAAATTTAGTTACACTGTATTTCCCATGTGAATATGCTGGCCTTATTTTACTTCTGTAATGTTACTAACTTATACATGTTATACATTTTTATGTATATATATAATTATATATTTCCCCTTCTCCAATAATACAAACATGCATGCTGATGTTAATAGATTTCAGGAACCATAAATCCAAGGCCTCATTCACATTTTCCCTATGACTTATCATCTTCATTAATAAAATTGCTCCTTTGGCCAACTTTAAAATAATGCTTGCTTGCCCTCTCCCAATTCAAGATAAACATAGGTAATCAGAGATTACAGAGCTCACCTCAACGAATGTTGTCTTTAAGTAAGGCAAAGTCACACAATTAACCAACAAAAAGTATACATTCCAAAAATGAAAATATTTTTAAAAGCAATTTTGATCTGATACTTTGAAATAGACCTACATAAAAAATTTAAACTACTTCTTCTTCATGAAAATGTAATGAAAATCCAGCATCTGAAGCAAATTTGAGAGTTTTCATCTCTTAATGCAGCATTTGTGCAAGTTTGGTTTATATAAGCCTTACAGTTTTTGGTAATAGACCTGCAACCATAACTTTTACCTTGTCTATTATCTGAAAAATGTATGTCCAATTCAGCATCCGAAGCAAGTCCATTAGTGTGCATCCTTAGATGTATCATCCATGCAAGTTTGCTCATTATAGGGCTCATAGTTTATTGGAAATGAAACATGCATCAACACTAACATTTTCACTCATCCACAAAAAGTAGGTCAGATTCAGCATCCGAAGCAAGCCTGGAAGTATGCATCCTTAGATGTATCATCTATGCAAGATTGGTCATTAAAGAACTCATAGTTCCTTGGAAATGAAACCTGCATCAAAAACTTTTAACTATTCACTCAACCGGAAAATGTAGGTCAGATTCAGCATCCGAAGCAAGCCTGGTAGTGTGCATCCATAGATGTATCATCCATGCAAGTTTGGTCAACATAGGGCTTAAAGTTACTTGCAAATGAAACCTGCACCAAAAACTTTCACCTGTTCGCTCAACTGGAAAATGTAGGTCAGATTCAGCATCCGAAGCAAGCCCGGTAGTATGCATCCTTAGATGTATCATCCATGCAAGTTTGGTCAACATAGGGCTTATAGTTACTTGGAAATGAAACCTGCACCAAAAACTTTAACCTGTTCACTCAACTGGAAAATGTAGGTCAGATTCAGCATCCGAAGCAAGCCCGGTAGTATGCATCCTTAGATGTATCATCCATGCAAGTTTGGTCAACATAGGGCTTATAGTTACTTAGAAATGAAACCTGCACCAAAAACTTTAACCTGTTCGCTCAACCGGAAAATGTAGGTCGATTCAGCATCCGAAGCAAGCCCGGTAGTATGCATCCTTAGATGTATCATCCATGCAAGTTTGGTCAACATAGGGCTTATAGTTACTTGGAAATGAAACCTACACCAAAAACTTTAACCTGTTCACTCAACCGGAAAATGTAGGTCAGATTCAGCATCCGAAGCAAGCCCGGTAGTATGCATCCTTAGATGTATCATCCATGCAAGTTTGGTCAACATAGGGCTTATAGTTACTTGGAAATGAAACCCACACCAAAAACTACACCAAAAATGTTAACCTGCTCCAAAAACATTAACCTGGTAATTCCTTTGCTGAAATTGCAGCATCTGAAACTTTGTCTGGTACAATAAAACACACTAAAACCATCTTCCATGCATGTCTAATCAGTATAGGACACAGAAGTAATTAAAAAGAAAACTGCTCCAAAAAACTTAACCTTAACCTGGGACGCCGACGCCGACACCGACGCCGACGCCGAGGGTATCACATAAGCTCCCCCCAACTTCGTTGAGGTGAGCTAAAAATATTAGGTCAGTAGTTAAGTGTCCCCCCCCCCCCCCCAAAAAAATCAATATTAATGCTGACCGAATTTCAAAATCAACTGACAGAAATTAAAGGTGTTCAGAAAATTAAAATACATTCCTGGATGACTGAAAATATATTACCATTTCCAATAAATTAACAAAAAAGTTTTGACCTTGGGCGAATTTTATCTAGTTGGTCAGAAAGGGTAAACTATTATTTTTTTTTTTAACAGGTGGCCTTAACATTTTTTTTTTCAAAGTGAGCAAAAATGCCACCTTTCTAAATAAATTTGAGTCATGGAGAAATAATTTATCTAAAGTCTATACATTAAAAAATTAATACATATAGATGGCAAATCAGTACTGACTTAAAGGATTAAAGTTTTATTCAGCAAGATTCTTCTTACAACATAGCATCTGTCTATACAAACATATACAGTATAAAATGACTTCTCCCACCAAAACTGCCTCATGCATGACAGTCTTGTTTACGGGGATGAGTGATCTCAAGCCAGAGACAGATTTAGTGAATCCTCCTTCCAATCCCCCTCCATTCCAAAATAATACAATAAACATTACAAAAAATAAAAAGTATTGATAAAGCTTGTCATTGAATGCACATGACACTACAAGTATGTTAAGTTTCTATTGTCATTCATCTCCTTTAACCCACCCCCCCCAAAAAAAAAACATACACCACTAGAACTAGAAATCTGCAGTGGATACTTGTACATTATGTACTCCTCTCTAAATTGCCCAGAAATCATTCCAATAATATTCATTTAGAGAAATAATTATGGGAACAATCATATTGATAGCCCTGATTTTAGTCTACACGCAATGGTACCATAGAAGGTTATGAAAAGATTTTTTTCCCAAATAAAAAGATTGACCCTCCCCTACACAGTGTTAGATTCCAGGCATTAACAGTGTATCCATAATACAAGAATATATAACATGCAGAGTCTTACAGCTGCTTAGTATAGAGGTGGGCGGGACTAGGGTGTCATTTTGTAAGGATGTAATATTTGTGACCTCTGTTGTCATATCCTTCAAGGTCGTGACCCCCGGAACTATGGTCGTCTGGGCAGTAGTGCTAGCTGCAAGCAAGAAATTTTTTAAGCAAGGAATTTCAGGTGAAGAAAAATGAATACTTTCCTACTACTCTAAAAATATTTGAGGAAAAAATTCTTGAAGAACAAATAAAGAAGTCAAAATAAAGTATAAAAAAATTAAAATAAAGACAGGTGCCCAGTGCCCAGGAGCTCTGAATACTGTTTACATATAAAGTATCTGATATATTTACAAGGTTTGTGCCTTTGGAACTTGAAGATATAAAATAAAAGAAAACACGGGAAGTAACCAAGGGAAGTAACTCTTGTTGCACTAGTTTTTCTGATACAGTGATATTGAATATACTTACAAGTCTTGGAATATACTGGAACATTTGTTTTGTTTCCGCATAATTCTGAAATTAAAATTAAAAAGAAGATACAGTTGTAAGAGAGATAAATCTTAACATTACAATTCCAGTCAGACAGACAGACAGCTGGACAACTAGATATTCCCATGTTGAATGAAAATATGACATGCTATGTCAGTTTGATGAAGAAACTTTACATGATTATAGATTTACAGTAAATAACAAAAGTGCCAGGGACAGAAACATTAACTTCATAATTCCTTATATCTGTAACTGTTTAGTGTTCAATATATTTTAAAGTCAAAGGGAATCAAAATCACCTTTCTCTTTAATAGCATCAATTCTTTATTGGTATATTAAGCATGTTTGCTATAGTGTGTTTTACTTTATTATCATGTAATGAAATAAATTTTAGAAATGAATACGATATCTTTATTTCCTCCCATTTTTATCATGGAAAAAAGTAAATTAACTTCAACAATAAAAGGGAAGAAATGGAGTTCAGAGAACTCTGATGTAATATGTATGGCTGCTACTGACAAGGCAGCCAATACTCTGCTTTTGAATTCTGTGTCTTTTTGCCAGGATACACATTGTGATGATGTAAACAATATTCTGACTTAAGCTAATTATTTTTTTTTCAAGTGCCTGATCAGTCATTCACCATTCCCATACAAACACACAGCTAGAGTAATCAAATCAAGAAGGCACTGAACTTATATACACTACCATCAGCAGCACAAAGCACTGCAGCTAAAAACAACTTATCTAGAACATTATAGAGAAACACAAAGAAAGAATGCAATTTCCTCTTTGCAAATTGATTGTCTCTCAATCAAGATAATTAAAATTCATGGTATTTGGAATGTAAAGGATGAAAAAAATATTAAGCCATGAAATGAAAAATAGCATCAGGTATTACTACATGTAAGATTGATTATTAAAGAAGGCAAAAAAAAACCTAACCTTTAAAACAGTCATAAATTTTACAATCCAATACCCTAAAGCTTACCACAGTTTGGCTGCATTATCTCCCCTCAGTCAAATCTCAAATTAGATCTACAAATGTACATGCACCCTGAGGGGACCCAGTACAAATATATACACGATTTCTCTGTCCGCTACAGCAGACAATGATGAATGTCAATTGTCATTTTATAAATCAGCATACCTGTGCTGCCTTGCACAGGTGAGGAAATTCTCTTAAATGACAAAGTTTGACATTCAAACATGCAGGAGAGAAAAGGTTTTCTGATTTGAAATGGCAGTGTGTATCTGTTTGTTTTGGTTTGGGCTTACAACAGATTTTTTATGACTTTTGTGACATGACCAGTGAGAACATATGTACCAGTATTCCTGACCTGTATCAAACAAGAATGCTGAATCTTTTCATGTACACGTAGTATAAAGGAAAATTAATAGTGAATGACTTTATAATTTTTTTCTTTTTTGCTTGTCAAAAAATTTCTTTGTATGACATCTGTTTAAGTTGAATGATGTAGATACCCCATCCCCCACCTGTGCTGTAAATTTTACAATTTACAGATATATACTGTGAATACTTGTGATCTAAAAGTTGAGGCTGAGTACATAAAGGAGATGATTTTTTAATCTTGCAATCATTGCATTTTATATATTAAGTTAATTGTTTTTCTTTTCTAGCATCATAGCAATTGTCATGTCCAACATTGTAAGTGTAAGCAATGTGTTCATGTGAAACACTGATTTATATAATACCATTTCTAATTAAAGTTTCTTTGAGATAAATTCTAAATTCACCTTCTCTTACATTATCATGATTATAGACATGACTAAAACTGAAAAAGGAGTATGAAGGCCACATGAAGCATGTTTTCAGAATGGAAAAATGGACCCACTGACTTGGAATATGTTAAAATAAAGCATCTCTTAGACAGTCTACTATATGTTTAAATAAAATAAGTAACATTTTTTTCACCTTCAAAAGTTCAGAGGATGAAGAACATGTGCTCTACTGTTTATTAATAGGCATGGATAAATTTTATCATTCTGATTCATTTAATCTGATCCAATATCCATCTACTGTAAAATGCTAATGAGCGACATTTCTTAACTAAATCAGAGACTTATCTACTCATGCATCAGAATTTACCTTCTAACAAGGCGTATGATGTGTTTATATTGTGAATTTGTTCATCTTAAAAAGGGTTTAACTTTTTAATAAATAAAAAAAAAACTTGATAAAGTATTCCTGATTTATTTTTATGGTTTCAATATCTGAATGCCTGTCAAAAATCCTGAATATTAAAAGTAACCATAGTCAAAAAAAAAAGTATTAATTAAAGTGCAACAGAGTATGAATTGGCTATGTGTAGTGACAGTGCACAGTGATGCTGTGTTCCTGCTAGCACTTATTAGTGTATAAACTCATTAGCTCAGTCAGAAGAGCATCACATTTTACATATCATAGGTTAAACACGCTAAAGGTTGAAATTTCAATCCATATTGTGGAAGTCCCCAAGCTAAAAACCACATTAAGGGTTTGTTGTTTATAAAGTCTCAGATGTGATATTTCTTCAGGGATATAAATAAAAACACCATGTGAATGAAAAATTAAAACATGTCATATAGTTTAATGTGGTATATGCGTTGTGTGCAGTGAAGCCATATGCTCCTACTATAGCACAAACGAATGGGTACAATCCCTAAGCTAAGTCTGCAGAGCTAGAGTTTGACTCCAATTCTAAAAGTTGTAGATTTAAACCATATTGTGGAAACTCGTAATTGTAGTCATTCATAAAGTTTAATGCAGCATGCTTACCTAAGTAACTCTGATAGACTTTGGATTCTTTTTGCATTTTTAACATTTCACTTTTGGCTTGTGGTGATGTGCTTTTGAATATGGGTACTTCTGGTGGCCTTAGGAAGGGGTCACTACAGATGCACCGCTGACAGCTGAAGTTCTCCATTGTTGTTTTTATTCAGTTTGTTCTCACGCTCTTCTTATTCTGTAGAACAAAGACAAAAGTTATCAAAGTTTAATGAAAATTACAATAATGAATATTACAAATAAATACACCTAAAAAGTAAAATCGAATTTCAATAATTATTCAAGAATATCAAGATATAAACATGATAAATGATAAACATTTATTAAAAACATTCAATTTTAAAAAATAAGTCAGATGCTCTATTTTCACTTTTCTATAAACAACTGACAAGCCCTAGTATGTTGGCCAAAGCCTGTCCACTTCTCTAAAGAGAATAATATATATGTACATGTTAAGTATAGGGGGAAATACCATTTCACATTTCAATTGATCCTTCCCTCTGAATAAATATAGTAAAGCTAACCTGATAAGTATGTACTTTTTAAACTATGATGTGTCATGATTATCCCGTGCTACTCACACAAAACTACTACAGTACATATAACACGTGTGCTGATATTGTAAAATGATATCATTGAGTGACCATGTTTAAAAAATTGTGACAGGAACAAAAAAATAATTAATTAAAATCCTTATAATACAAAGTTCTCTTTTGGAGTTAAAAAAAAACATTCGGTGATTTTAGTAAGGTTGTTATTGTTGATGATCATGAAGAACGGAAATGGAATGTTGCAGGATTGGTCCTGTGCACGATCATACAGAAATCTAGTTCTCCAAAGTTGGAGATCTCGATAAACAATTAAACTTTCAATCAATTAGTTAATAAACCAGACAACATGAAAATGAAACCTTACCTGTTCATTTTACTTTCTTTTTGAGGACGACAGATTAAAACCAGGAAGTTTACATAGTACGGGATGGGAGTGACTAACTTCCTGCTTCAATATCGATAGACATTTATTATCCGGAATACCGTTAGCATCAACAGTTGCGCCTATCTATTGTTACTTTACCAAAACATAAACTATAATTGGTAATTGGAAACCCGTATGGGTTTGTCACCATCTGACTTGTGTAGAATCTACCCAGGGTTGGAGTCACATTGAGTGATAGGTACCGTACCATGGCCTGTATGTAAATGGTGTATTTTCATTATCTGATTATTACATGATTGATGAGTCGCCCGCGGCAAGTACGTTGGTGAATTTACTGACCAGAAACAGAATACATTTGGGATTTCAAACAATACTATATATATTTTTATAATATTGACATATTTAGAGGGGCTATGTCACTGTGCATCCTGAGAGTCTAGAGATGCTTTTCTTAGATTGGCATTTAGCAGAAATATAGGGGCACTTGAAAATGTCATTCATTTGATGAATCAGGTTCCTGTGAAATAGGAAATTGAAATATTTTCCCTGTATATACACGAGTTATTTGGTACAAAATGTTACATTTAATTTTTTAAATACCATCCCTCCATGCCTTATTGAATACGTTATTTGTG